CTCTTCCCCCTAGTAAGCCTCGCACAAGCTCCATTTTGAATTTGGCTTCTGTCATTTTACCACCAAGGACTTTGTGTACAGCCAGGGAGTTGAACACAGCCATGTCCAAAAGAGTGAAGAAAATTTTTATATACCATTTTATTGTTTTCCTTGTTGATCTGTTGGACTGTCCTAACTGATCACTGAGGTCAACCCCCTTCATGTGATGGTTGTACTCTAGCACAGCCTGTTCCTGACAGTTGGGAGAAAGAGCTTCAATCTCGCTGATGTGGACCGTAGAAAGCATGGTTATGGGCTTCTTGTTCATCCACTGCAAGGCAAGCATTCCTGTGTTTGTGCTGCGGAAGTCTATCTTTCCTCGCCCTTTCGCCTGCAGGTCTGTTGGCATGTATTTACAATTTTTTTGTACTGTCCCGACAGCACTTGTTTTCCTTGCCTGCAGGTAGTGGAATAGTTTTGGGGACGAAAACCAGTTGTCAGTGTGTATTTCGTACCCCTTGTCCATGAGGCCCCCTTTTTCCATAAGGTCGATCACCACTTTCATGCTTGTGGGGTGCTCCCCACAGTCCTTCCCTACATAGATGCCAAAGGCAGTGGTATAGCCAGCCTCTGGTCCATCACTTGAACAGAGCTTGTAGACCTTCAAACCCCTGCATGCACTCTTGTTTGGCACATACTGTAATGCCTGATGGCACCCACTGACATCCCAAAGGATCTCATCCACCGAAATCAACTTGTTGGGGACAAAGATGCTAGAAAACTGTTTGTCTAGGACATCAATGACAGGTCTCAACTTCCAAAGCCGATCAACAGCAGGATGGTCAGCTTCATTGTCAACGAAGTGGAGTGCTAATGTGATGGCATCAAACCGATCCCGCGACATGGTCTGTGAGAAAATTAGTGACGAAATCAGGGGATCATGAGACCAGAAGTCCTGCATGTATGGCATGGACTGCAATCCCATCAGGAATAGCAGCCCAAGGTATGCCCGAAACTCATGAACTGTTATATCCTCCCAAGCCTTCATGTTAACAAAGGGTGTCTTCATGTACTGCGAAGCATATCTGCAGACAAAAGAATTGACGTCATAAAAAACACATTTGTAAGAGGTACAACATGGGGAATTGTAAATAAATATTTTCAAAACAGCGAGTAGCATAATTTGAGGTGATTACCGATTCGTCTCTTGTACAATCTTTTCCAGAAGTTCCTTTGTCAGGAACTTGCTGAAGATCGTTTCAGGCCGTGAAGCAGCATCCAGGTTAGGAAGCTTGACCCCAGGAGTTGCAGTGAAGTCAAAGCGCTGTGGGTTATTCTCCATCTTTCTCCAGACAAATGAGGAAGTACCTGGGGCATTGCGATCACAGCGGTTGACTGACATTAGCGATACAGAGTCAATGTCTGACTCAGAGTTGGACAGCTCAGACTCATCCTCCAAGTTACTGTCCTCCCATTTTGAGTCATCACAACGGGCGACATGAGGATCTGTGAAAGAATATGAAAAAACATGACTTATCCGTAAAAATAATAAATCAATATGCAAAAGGAGCCAGTTAGTGTCTTTTACAGATCAAATAAAAGGAGAAAACTCACCGTAATAATCCTCTGTCCTGCACCGTTTAGTCGGTGGCATATACTCCACATCCGATTCCGCACATTCCTCATCAGAAGAATGACTGACCAGATTGAGGAGGGGATCAGATGTATTACTCAAACGCAGAAGACTCCTGGAAGTCGAAGGCTGGGGATCATCCATCACCTCCTCTTCCTTAAAACCAAGGGAAGGGATGGAACGGGAAGACCGAGGCCTGTGAGAGCGGACAACGGAAAGCTGGCAAATGACAACTTTGACCTGTCCTCGCCTTTTAAAAGTATTTTTTATCCAATCATGCCACTCGTGATATTGTCACATGACATGACATGAAAATCGCATGACGACACGGTCACGTGACCAGATGTCATCACCAAGGAAACTTTTAAAATATTACTTCAACTGACAAGACATCAAAAGCAAAAAAAAAGGACCTAAAAACAGTCCATTACGAAGGAATTCTGCTATGACGGCCATTCCCCGTCACTGTCATAGAGATCGTATCCCAAAGCATGGCAGATATAGCTATACCCACCGCCAGGCCATCATAGCTGTCCTGTCTTTAATCCCTTACAGGCAGGTCACGTTTACCACTACCACGTGGTCTTCAGGGCTATACATACAGAGATGCGCTAGAGTGTGTGGAGCGGGTAGTGGAATCTCGTACCCAGCGGCTGGATGTTGCCAGAAATCACTGGAGTGTTTGATGTCAAGAGATTTCTAATACCCATCAGCGTTGGGTTAAACAAAAATTTTCTGACTGCCACAGCATTACCCATCATCGAGAAGTTAATACTTGGGTAGTACCCGTGAAGGCTATTGTTGGCACAATTCAAACCTAATACTGTTATAAGAACATACACTTAATCATCGTAGACCCATCCTGATAATGTAATGTAATAACCCAAAAAAGGTAAATGGCACAATAATTTCTACTTTTATTATAACAGTAATATTACAAACCAAAATTTTCCGTGACAGGTATAGCTTTACCCGTTGCTAAACAAATTTTTTTCACAAATGCCATAACAGTACCCATCTGTAAGAAGCTAATACTGAGGCAGTATTCATGAAGGGTACTGATTTATTGTCAACCATTTATTGATCAGTTTCATACATATTTACAGAATTTTCTATGAAAACAGTGCACAGTTGATGCACTGAAATGGCAACATATGTATGGTTACACAAATTATAGTTAAATATGTAAAATATATATTCTCAATATAGTATAAGCGAGATTTATCACAGTATGTAATTTGCATATTACTGCAAAGGTTTACCATTATACAGTCTATAAAGCACCATATATTTGTCCTGTTTAACAGCATTAACTTTGTAATGTAGCAACAAAGGAAATCATAGACAAAATTACAAAGAATATTCAGAGATTTGTTTCCATATGTCTGAAATTAAATACAATATCTTTCATTACTTTACATTACTTTAAATAGCAAATTGGAGTCCTCCAGAGCCTAGGGTAAATTGCCAGTTTTTTTTCTTTTCTGAGACTGAATAAATTAAATGACTCGGAGGTAACTAGACACTTGTGGAAACATCTGTGTGTAAGCAATTAATAAACCAAACTCACAGCATATACAGCTTGTATTTTTGCCATCTCAGCATCAATGGGTTGAATGAAATACATTTTTCTTTTTCTACATAATAAGTCAAGAGGGAAAAAAAAAAAAAAAATGTACACACTATTTCTTACCTGTGTGCTCTACCTCGGAACTTGTATGCAGCTGCAGAATCTGGGTTCAATTTGATGGCCTCATCGCAGTCTCGGATAGCAGCCTTGACTCTGCTCTGTTTCAATAGTATGTTTGCTCTCTTTGCATACAACATGGCAGATCCTGCAAAAAATGTATTATTTTTGACAATATATTTTGTTATCTTCCAATACACTATTCTTCTTGTATGTGGTAATTATTTTGAGATGGAATATAACAAATAAATTCTATGAAACCAGAAAAAAAAGAAGAGGATTTACATTATTAACCTCAATCTACCAGAGAATGACCCCTACAAATAATCATCCTGAAATACCAATTCCTTTTCCATCTCAAGATGTCTAATGAATATATATAAAAGTCATGAAACCTAACAACCACAACTTTATCTAAACACACCTGGGTTAAGTTTGATAGCTTCTGTGAAACAATCGACAGCTTTCTGGAAATCGCCATCAGACATTGCCATCATCGCTTCTGACCGCTTCTCATTTGCTGCATCCTGGTCCTCCTCTGACACCACCTTATTCATGTCCCCTATCTCAGGTGGGTCCTCGGTTTCAGGTTCTGCGGGAGAATTTTCATTTTATGTGACTCTGATGAATATCAGAAGCTCATGGTTACAATGTCTGATCACTCAAAACAACATATCTAACTTCAACTTCTTTGTGGGGTATACATAATGATTTTTACATTTTCTTGTGTTCACTTCAGGCTAAACAACATACGAATACTGTTTAAACTCAACTTACAACTACAACTTTATTTTACATGCAAAATAGACTCACCAATAACCCCTTCATTGTTCAATTCAACATCACTCTCTACTTCCTCTTCTTCTTCTTCCTTGGGTTCAGGTTCCTTCATTGGCGTCTCCTCAGGTTTTGGTGGCGGCGAACATTCTGGTAATTTGGCACCCAGACTTGTCAGATATTCCCTGTTCAAAGAATTAATAGCTTTGAGATCCCACTCATCAAGTACAGAGGCAGTCAACAGAAAGCCATGCAATTACCTGTGAATTTTTATAATGCTAAACAAATACTATTTCATATTCTAGTTGAAACTTTTGTCATAAACACATGCAAATCTGTTCCTCAGATGATATACTGTGTGCTAGCAGTCTGGGGATGGGCAATGGAGCGAGTGTGGTTGTCTGTCTGGGTCTGTTATGTTTTTGTATAACACATTCAAAATTTGCCTAAGTCACAAGTCAACAATACACTGCATCCTTCCTGTAGACATCTATCAAATACTTACTTGAAAAAGCTCAGCTGAGGCACATGAAGTATTGAAGGATTTTGTTTGCAGGCACTGATGAAACTCTGGAGCCTCTGTAGGTCCTCTGGCCGCAATTGCTCCACCATGATTGCAATCTAGAGTCAGCCTGTAATATTTAGAGAGATTAAAACTAAGAATAGTTATATGTGCATTATATCTATAATTTTCTTTTCATGATGAATCTTCCTACTTCCCAATTTGACTAACATGGATATTGTTTCAAGTACTGTCTTCCTAGCAAGGCACAATCACAAATCAGCAGAGGTCTAGGAAATAGTCTAAGTTTCTTTGGACTATGGAATCCTTTTAAACCCCTTTTCTCCATTATGCCTCATCTGATCCAGAAATTCCAGATAAAAGTATACCTCTCTCTTTAACCCAATGTCAGCAGGCTTATTTTCTGACCCCCTTAGATTTTGGTGAGTTTTGTTGCAAAGGGTAAACAGATGACTCCTTGATGACTAAGCACTTTTAGAGCCATCTATGTGTAAAGACGATATATAAAACTTCTATTACAGTGGGTATGACATTGTAGTCTGGCCACCCACGCACATTGGGTTACACCCCCACTATACAACTAAATCAATGGAAAGAACTCCCTACAATACAGAATACTATTCCATAAAAAGCATTCTTTTCAACATCTTGACTTAGCTGATGAATCTGAAATTGTATCAACATTAATCAGATATTCCATCTATGCAGATACAGAAGTTACCGTAAAGATTTGTATGTTTTTGACAATTGGGATACATGATCCAATCTTATACTTGCTCATGCTATCACTTAGATTCTCAACTAATTTATAAAACTTTCTTCTGGTGAATAGGAATGCACTTACTTTCTATATCAATATCTTAACCCAAAAGCAATGGGTAAAAATTTTATTGAAGCTAGATGAAGATGGACATTCATTAGTGACTGCTACTCTGCACATGGACAATTGTCCATGCAGTAGCATGCACAAATTCTCATACTGACAATCAGGTCAGATTTAAAACAGATGAGGTATTACCTGTTGTCTATGATTATATGCCATAACATCATTGATATTTTATATGAAAATAGGCTGCAACAATTGTATTGAATATGCAAAGATGAGAAGGCACTTGAAAACCGAATACGAACCAAGAAGATATTTTCAGTCCAACATGACTGGCACAGAGGCATGCAACACCTTAGCCTGTGCTCTGTGCTCTTGCAATGGCCAACAAATCCCAAACAAATGTATGCACATAAATCACAGCTTAGACTATACCTTTCTTATACCATATATATCACCTTGCAGATCTAAAAATTTTTTTTTTGAAGTATGGGGTGGCAATTTCTATATAGTTTCAGTTTCTCACAGCCATCTAGTACAAGGTAAAATCTAGCTGGAATGGACAGGATGATTACCTTCGCAAGTTGATTAGAAAGTTGTGTAACACAAGACTTTGGTATACATTTACAGGAAAATGTAATTAAACTATGATAATCTAAGAGAAAAACTATACTCTGCTTAAGCAAAAAAAATAATGTCAGAAATGAAAAAAAACAGGCTGCAACAAATACCACACAGAGAGTAAGTTCATAATTGGATGGGGGTCCTGTGGTGGAGCTCCTGATAAGGAAATAGTCATTGGATGAAAGTCTGATTGAGAGGTTCCCAGGTTAGACAGAACAAAGCTATTTGACACCCTTTTGCAATTAAAACAATTATGCTATTTTGTTTCTTTTAGATAATATAATTTCTGACACAAGTAAATTACATGAGGAAGAATTGTTTTTGTCTTAAAGGATATGACAATGCTAGAGTAGCACTATAAGAATATCAATAATTTATAGTAACTAATACATATCTTACAATGTGCAAATTGATGTGCCTCACATGACAGGCAAGAGGGACCTCAAGAATTGTGCAGGAATTTGAAAATGCTGTACACAACTGCATAAGTTTCTATTGATACTTTTAGAACATTTTACTATACATTGCTAATGTGCTATATGCTAGTTACATAACCCAATACACTGCATGAAATATTTATAATGAATTACATGACACCAGATAACTAAAAATTTTACTTTAAATAGGAACTGTTCATTTTGCTTCATCAGTATTATGTTGAAGACCAGAACACTAAATATAGGAGTGATATGAAATATGTGAAAGCGATGCCAGAGTTGTGTTTTTTCAATAAGCAATAGAAATGTCACTGTCCTATAAGGATTACAGTCATTCGATTACGGGAAAGGTATTTACTGTGTTCAAACATCCAGACTAGAGTACTGATTAGAGCATTTATTATTCAAAGTAAAAAAAATAAAATATTCATTTGATACATACAAAGCCAATATATATCAGCAACAGAGAGCTCAGACAATTTAAGGGTCTGAATGATGATGTGAAATTGTAGCAAAATCCATCATAGCAATAGCCGATATGTATACTGCACAGTAAAGGATCATGGGCACCAGTTATCCTTTACAGTATGGATGCACTTGGCTTGGGCAAATTGTAGATGATATTCTTGCAGAGGACAAAAAGTTATATTCAATGGCACAAGAAATAATCTGCAGACCATAACAGTAATGCCACCAATAATGGAAAAAGATCACAGAAAGCACTGCTCATAGCCACTCAGTCCACTCGATGCTCCCAAGTTTCATCTCTATTTTGCCATGCATACTGAGGTGTGAGCGACTAATTTTCTCGGGGTGTGTTGGGGGGCAGAGCTCCCCCAATCAATCCTGCTCACAGGCACACCCAGTCATGGCAATTTAGATTGTTGAATGAAGTTTAACCCAATGGCGCCGGGTGTACAAAAAAAAAAAACTATGCTTAAACAAAGGCGGCGCGCCGACTTTGAGCGCGTAAGTAGGGGACTTCAGCCCGAATCACTGGCTCGCCAGCTTTCG